AGTCATTCAACCCCACAGCTCAGCAACCTCAACATATGAAAACGTTCCCTTTCCACATAAAGGAAGCGCCTTAAGGCTTCTCTCTGGCACGTCCGCATCGCCAGCACCATCCCCCCTGCGCTTTGGGTCTGTCATAGAATCAGGTGACAGCACCACCAGCACCGCGACACGCCATCGATGGCGGGACGGCTGCTCAGCGGCGAACAGCGGGAGCGTGTACAGCATGGAGACACCGAATATTCATATTCCGGGAGGAATGGAGCGGGAGGGCCCAAAACCTCCCCACTCCTCCCAGCACACAGCCTAAGGCGTAGGAACTGTTTATTTCTGGAACCACGTTCACAGGGGGTAGGGGGGGGACTGCTGTCCTTGCACCGTCAGTAACCGTTTACACTGACCGTCCCCTGCTGTAGCCTGTGATGGAACCGCGCCTGCTACCCGGAGGCGCTGTCCTGTACTGCCCACTCGTGCCCATTGCTATCTGTGTCTGCAGCACAAGGACGCTGCCTGAGCCGTCGTGCATTTGCCGCCCATGGAGCACCCACCAATGCGACGGACTGAATTCCAGCGCTGGGGGGGCCCAGGCCCCAGCAGAAACTGACTGGGCTAACCCCGCCCCTCCCACCCAGGAATCTCCAGGATCCCGAGTCCGGAAAGCTAACCTGTAACCACAGATCAGACAGACCCGTGGGGACAGGACAGGCTGGGGGCTGCGGCTGGAGCAGTGGACGGTTGTGCTGTCACTTCCCAAATGAGCGGGTCACAGGCTCGCTTTGGCCAAGCGCTCGGGGGAGGACGACCCGCAGGAGCCGGGGCCCCAGAGCCTGCCACTGCCCGGGGTCAGGGGGGCGTGAGGCAGGTCCAGCCGGCCCCCAGGTGCAGACCTAGCTCATCAGGACTAAAGGCTGCTCCTGAGGTTGGGCAACACCCACCGCTCAGGGCAGAGGTCACAGCTGCCACCTGATGACATTTAACATTTAAAACCCAGGAATCCCTCAGGAGAACATTCTTCACCACCGACATCACCCGCTGGCACGAGCAGCTGCCCTCTGCCTGCCAGTGCCGCCAGGGCCGGCTCCCGTGCGATGCGTGTCCTCGTGGGCACGGCCTGCGGCCCGGACGGTAGGTCTTCCGAGCAGAGGCTCAGCCAGCCTTGTTCCAGGGTCCCCTCCACCACGGAGGAGGAACGGAGTCCGTGATCAATAGACAGCAGCTCTGTCGCTGCCAGACCAACCGGGGAACGTGGCGCTGAAGTAGAAGACAGGGTCTAAGGCCAAGCTCTTCACTGGAAGGGGTGCGACTGCAGGCAAATCACTCAGTTCCTAGAGGCCATTCCTCATCGCTGTGAGGTGGAGACAGGCCGTCTTCCCTGCCATCCCCCAGCAAGGGAGTGAGACAGGCAGACGATGCCCCCGGCTCTGTGAGATCCCTGTGGACGGAGAAACCACCCACGGGCGACATCAGTATTAACAGGGGCTGGTCCAGGTCAACTAGACGAGGCAGAAGCGCCCCAGACGGAAGGGCGGGCGCACTCACGCGAGGCCTCGGCCAGGAGCAGCAGCACCAGAGAAGCTCCAGGCAAACCTCAGAAGCTGCTCAAGGCCAGGAGCCTGGAGAAACGGTACTGGGTGAGCCCTGGCAGGTGTGCTCAGTGGTTAGGCCAATTCCTGGTCAAGGTTCAATTCCTGGGTTGCAGGTTCGATCCCCAGCCCAAGGCCTCTCACATCCATGTCTCTCTTTCTCTCTTCCCCTCCCTTCCACTGTCTCTAAAAAACATAATCAATGGGAAAAGATCCTGGGATGAGGATTAACAAAGAAAACAAGACCCTGGGTGAGCTCATACCGCGTCTGCGTGCTTGTCTCCAGCCCGTTCCCGGCTGGACGGCACCGATTCCCAGTAAGAACCAGCCTTTGTTCATGGACTGCCAGAGAGAGTGAAAAAAGGCAGAAGAGCACACAGATTCCTGCTTAAGATTATCCTGTCACTCACTGACCAACAGAAGAAACAAGAAAAACTGTTACAGATGAAGGTGCAGACACTCTCCTCATTCACCTGGTAGCAGGCAGCCGGCCCTGTGCTCCCAGGGGCCGCCCCCATTGCTCCATGGGATGCGGTCCTCAGTGTCCACTCCTCCCTGGCCACGGCCCTGAAGCAAGACCAAGCCCTTGGAGGCCAACGACCAACAGCCTGTGAGAAAAAACACTGCAGCACTGGGCCCCTCACTCAGGGACCTGCCATCAGCACAGACCAGACCAGAGAGGGGTCAGAGCGAAGCCAGGGCTGAGCTGCCACAGGGGCTGAGCTACCGCCAGGGCCATGTGCAGAGCTCACAGGCAGAGGCTTGTCTGCAGTGGAGCAGAGGGAGCAGAGGGGCGGGAATCTGAAACCCGAGAGAAAAAACAAGGAGCGTCCTGGCCCTCGGCCACCTTCGAAGAGGCAGCCACGTGTCGCTGGCCGGGGAGCGCTGTCCCCACAGTGAGCCTTCCTGCCCCTGACCCGGTGGTGTCTGCTCTTTATCACCAAAGGCCTAACCTACAACAGAGACTGTCAGCAGAAGCAGAGTTACCACCAACAGACCTTGGACACAATGCAGAGGGTTGGCGAGTGGAATCGGGCGGGTAAAGGCCATCCCTACCCGACGCACAGGCCTCTCCAGAGCCCACAGAGGAGAAAGATAGAAAACTCGGACTCGTACCCCTGTCCCAGCCAGACACCTGGCAAGCCCAGCCTAAGCAGGTGAACACGGTGGTGGGAAAGTCCTCAGAGGGACTGTCTTAACTGGCTGGTGAGCCGGTCGCCACATGTGGCCGCAGTGGCTGCGTAGGACGCTACCCAGCGTCAGGGGCTGTAGAGAGAAGCCTGGAGAGATGTTCACGGACTCAGGGACAAAGGGCCCAGGCAGCGACAGTGACGAGCAGAACAGACTCTGGCTGAGAATCGCGGGTTCCCACGAGGCTGGGCTTGCTGTCCTCGTCCTTGGACGTCAGCAAACGCAACTTCTGCCTTGAGCGCTGAGCTAAGGGAGTTTTTGTTCCTTATATGCAGGAGTGCAGACTGGAACAGAGGACGTACAGTGAAAGTGCAAGAGGAAAAGCATTTGCTGAGGGTGGAGAGAACACCCCGCTTTCAACCCAACCATCTACATGATAAGCATCAAAACTCACACATCGCACATCCACAGCAGCTTTACTTGTGAACAGGAAGAAGCTGGCAAGGACCTCCCCATTCGAGGGCCTGCGAACTGAGCCGATGCGTTCCCACAGGCACCCCTCCCAGCAGCCCAGGCTCCCTGGCCCGGGGGATCCGACACCGAGGGACAGAAGCCGGCGTTTAGGGGATGGAAGAGGCTCACGATGTGATGTGTTACGGAAAAAAGGTTACAAACAGCATTTACTGCCTCTTTGTAAAAAGCAGCACATCTGCATCAAAACAAGCCAGTCTCTGCCGTCTGTAATGGTCCTGTCTTTGTGTGATTCTCAACCCCAATCTAATTTCTTCTAAACCACAGAAACTCTCCCCCAAAATTAAAGATTTTCTTTCAGTTTGGGAATGCCAAGTCCTGCCTCTACTGCAGGACCAGCCAGTCCTGTGGTTAAAAAAACCGGTAGAAAAGGGAAAAAAGAAAGGGTGAGGGAGACAGCGGAAAGGGAGAGGGGCCGGGGTCAGGCCGGCGGAAGGCCTCCCGCGCAGCTGCTCTGGGTTCCCGACCGCAGGCCAGCCTCCCGTCCGTCTCCCCGTGTTCCCGCCATGCTGTGCAGTCTCACCCCGGCGCTGACGGTCCTGCGACCCATTTCACATCAACTCAAGTCCCAGTTCCATCGGAAAAGGCCAGGCTCTCTTACAACAGAAAGAGATGTATTTCCAAATTCAAAGATCTCCTTAAGAGAACCACGCAGACTCCGAGGCTGCAGTCACTGCACTGGAATGCCAGGCAGCCCCCGTCACTGAAAAGGCAATCGCGGCGGTGAGCTGTCTGCTGTTGAATGGCAACAGAATTCTAAGACAGGATCTTCCAAGATACTCCAGAACATCTAAGTCTTCTCATAATGTACGAGATAACACTGCTAGTGGCAATCTAGAACGTTCAAGTCCATCAGTGTCTACAGATAAAGGTCTGGCCCATGTGCTCAATGGTTAGAGCACTGAAGGGTCACAGGTTGGATTCCTGGTCAAGGGCACATACCTGGGCTGTGGGTTTGCTCCCCACCCCTGGTCAGGGCATGTGCGGGAGGCGACCAATCACTGTGTCTCCTCTCTCACATCGATGCTTCCCTCTCTCTCTCGCTCACACACACAAAAGCAATCTTCTTAATTAAATAACGGGAGAAGGAAAACAAAAGACAAGGTAAAGAAAAGCTCTCTCCAAAACTGATGTCAATATATTTGACATTTAACTATCAAGTAGTTTTTACTAAAAACTGTGACAACAATAAGACCTCCAAACAGGTCTTCCCTTTGTTGACCTGGTTGAGAAAGTCCCTCAACTGTCACGAAAGCCAAGCCTTCCATCCAGTGCCCTGGGGCTCAGCCAAGTTCACGCTTCGGGAACCTCAGTGAAAGGCTGGACCGCGATCAAGTGCCTGCAAAGGTCTGGCACAGTGTGGGTGCACAGGCCGGGCACCACGGCCAGCCCCGGAGAAAAACTCAAATCCGCGACAAAGAAGTATGGGCATTGTTCACTTGAAAAATTAAAATATACAATAAACAGCTGTAGAATCACCAGTCAGGCTTTTTAAAATTGCATTGGTAGTTTACACGGGTTAAAAAAAATAAATCATTGCTTAATTAACGTAGATTTTTAAATGAGAAGTTAAAGCAGGGGCCTACATCTTTCTCAAATAAAAGTGGTCCCAAAAGTTTTAAAAATGTTAGAGCTCCGTGTAGTTGTACGTTTGACAACACAGTGGGCATAGATTTATTTATTTATTTTTCCCAGCTCGACTTGACAAAAGCATTTTATCAGAAACAAAAGAAGCCCAAGAAACGGAAGCGACATTACCATACTTGGCGCCTCCAAGTTTAGGTACATTGAAGAACTTCTTGCGTGAACTGTCATTTAACGTTTCAATAAGGTACTCAAAGGTGTATCCTGAAAAATAAAATACAACAAAATATACGTTAATTAAACAGTTACAAAGGACTTTACTCAAAGGGAAAATACCTGGAAATCAACTTGATCCAACAGAATCTTCTGCAATGATAAAAATGTTATATTTACACCCTGTGCAATGAGCCACATGTGGCTGCTGAGCTACTTGAAATGCGGCTACAGCCACCGATGAACTCAAATTTTTTATTTTTTATTCATTTATACTAATAAAAGGGTAATATGCTAATTAGACCAGGAGACCTTCCAGACATCCTTCCAGACAAAGCCATGGTGGCAGGGCTGAGGCAGAGGCGGTTGGGGGCAATCAGGCCAGCGGGGATGGGGGGCGGGGGGGGGGGGCCAGTTGGGGGTGAGCAGGCCGGCAGGGGGTCAGTAGGTCAGTTCGGGGGCAGGTGGGAGGAGAGAAAGGCCGGCCAAGCAGAGTGGTTAGGGGCGATCAGGCAGGCAGGCAGGTGAGTGGTTAGGAGCCAGTGGTCCCGAATTGCCAGAGGGATCGGGCCTAAACCGGCAGTCGGACATCCCCTGAGAATTTCGTGCACCGGGCCACTCGTTTAAACATAAAAGGTCACATGTCCCCTCGTTTGTTTATTTTTTAAAATATTTTTATTGATTTCGGAGAGGAAGGGAGAAGGGAGAAGGGAACTGCATTGCACAGTCCATCTCTCAACCCCAATTCTTATCAAGTAAAAACCGGTAACAGAATTAAGTACTGAAATGTGGTAACAAAGAATAACCGGAAAGGGACAATGAGAATGACTTAAAGCAGGGGTCCTCAAACTTTTTAAACAGGGGGCCAGTTCACTGTCCCTCAGACCGTTGGAGCCGGACTATAGTTTAAAAAAAAACTATGAACAAATTCCTATGCACACTGCACATATCTTATTTTGAAGTAAAAAAAAAAAACGGGGACAAATACAATATTTGTATTTGCATGTGGCCCGCGGGCCGTAGTTTGAGGACCCCTGACTTAAAGGACGGGCATGTTTGGGGAAGGCACGTCCCGGATATTTCATAAACAGGTGGCAATCCGAGAACGCCCCAATTAGGATACACGGATTGACTTTTCTTTAAAAATAAAAAAGCATCAGAGGACAAGATGATGACAATGCGCCCTAGCTGGCTAGGCTCAGTGGATAGAGCAGTGGTTCTCAACCTTCCTAATGCCGCGACCCTTTAATACAGTTCCTCATGCGGTGAGGACCCCCGACCATAAAATTATTTTCGTTGCTACTTCATCATTGTCATGTTTCTACTGTTATGAATCCTCACGTAAATATCTGATATACAGGATGCATTTTCATTGTTACAGATTGAACATAATGAAAGCAGTGATTCATCACAAAAACAATATGTGATTATATGTGTTTTCCGATGGTCTTAGGCAACCCCTGCGAAAGGGTCGTTCGACACCCCCCCAACTGGGTCGCGACCCACAGGTTGAGAACCGCTGGGATAGAGCATCAGCCTGCAGACTGAAGGGTCCCAGGTTCGATTCCCGGTCAAGGGCACATGCCCGGGTTGTGGGCTCCATCCCCAGTGGGGGGCGTGCAGGAGGCAGCTGATCCACGATTCTCTCTCATCATGGATGTTTCTAACTCTCTCTCCTTCTCCCTTCTCTTCTGAAATCAATAAAAATACATTTTTTTTTAAAAAAAAAGATGAGAATGCATTCGACAACATGGGCAAAATCAAAACCCAACACGTAACAGGTAAGAGAGACCCCAACAGGCCTGGAGAATGAAAGCAAAAGTGCAACAACTCCTTCGGGTGAACGGGCCGCTTCTCCCTAAAGGAGGACGCGTTCTTCCCGGTTCTGCACGAACGGAGACTGAACCACGAAGGCTGGGGCCTCGGGGGTCCGGATGTCCCGGGGGGTGTGGGGGCGGCGGGGGCGGCCTCGCGGGGAAGGCACGATGCGCTCCCGGCGGTGGGTGCGCAGCCCCCTCGGCCTGGCCGGGCGCCCTCGGTCCGAGGGGGAGACCAACCCGGAGGACCCGCCTGCAGCGCCGTCCGAACCACACTGACCCGACGGAGCGGGGACCCCGAGGTGCAGGCCCGGCGCCGCCGTGCGTGGCCCGCCCGGGGGCCTAGCCCACCGCCGCCCGGCCTGGACCGGCTTCCACTCCGCTTCGTGGGGCGAGGACGCGGGGAGGGCCCTGGAGACCCTGCCCCCGCCCTTCCCCGACCCTAACGGGACGAGGAGCCGGCGGGACCCGGGCGCGAGGGGGCCCGGGGCGGACCGGGCCCCGGAGGGAGGCCTCGGGGAGCGACCCGAGCCCGAGGCCCGCGCGCTGGGCGGGCGACTCCGGACGAAGAAACACACAGGGACCCGGCGCCGGACCCCAGGCGGCGGACGGCACTGACCTGCACTGGGGGCGTCCATCGCTGGAGACCATATTAGCCCGCGGAGCCGGGCCGCGGGGAAGGAAGGAGGGGACGCCCGGAGGGGAAGGGGAGAAGGCGGCCGGGCGGCCAGGAGGAAGGAAGGGCGCAGTCTCGCCCTAAACACCGCGAGAGCAGCAGCCCAGCCGGCCCGAGTCCGCGCTCGCGAGATTTGCTGTGGCGTTCTCGCGATATCTCCAGATGGAGGAAACAAAGGAAGAGGCGGGGCGGGGCTAGAGGGAGGCGTGTCCTCGCGCGATCTCCAGCGGGGAGGGTCGGTCGCGGGCGTCGCCGGCGGCGTGGCCGGTTTGGCGGCCCGTTACTTCGTGCGGCCCCACGTGTCCCGCTAGGGCTGGGCGCTCCGCTGGGTGGGCGGGGCGGAGCGGGGCGGAAGTCCGCGTTCCCCTAGGGATGGATGGCCCGGGTTTGCCTGTGCGGCGTGGCATCCACGTGCGCGCCCGGGACGCGGTGGCCGGCGCCGCCTGCTCCCTCCCTCCCGGCGCCGGGTCCCGGGGCTCCGGCTCCGTCCCTCCGCTGGCTCCCCGCACCCGCCGCCTTATCTCCCGCTGGCAGCTGCCCGTGCGGTGCTCGCCATGCCGCGGCCACCCTCCCCTCCGCTCACACGCCCGCCTCCCTCCACCCGCGCGTCCTTACTCTTGCTCTGTCCCCTCGTTTGTTTATTTTTTAAAATATTTTTTATTGATTTCGGAGAGGAAGGGAGAAGGGAAGATAGAGTGATTGAGCGTTGACCTATGAACCAGGAGGTCAGGGCACCTGCCTGGATTGCAGGCTCGATCCCCAGGGTGGGGCGTGCAGGAGGCAGGCGGATGCATGATTCTCTCTCATCACGGCTGTTTCTATCTCTCTCCTTTCTTATCTGAAGTCAATAAATATACATTTAAAAAATAATAGTAAGCCCTAACTGGTGTGGCTCAGTGGATAGAGCGTCGGCCTGCGGACTGAAGGATCCCGGGTTCGATTCCGCTCAAGGGCATGTACCTTGGTTGCGGGGCTTGATCCCCAGTGCGGGGTGTGCAGGAGGCAGCTGATGGATGTTTCTCTCTCATGGATGTTTCTAACTCTCTATCCTTCACCCTTCTTCTCTGTAAAAAATCAATAAAATATATTTTTAAAAATAAAAAATAATAATAGCAACCACGGCCATCCATAGGCAGCTCCCAGGTGGATGAGAAACCGATGAATGGGAAACCCGTTATGCACAATTTGCAGAATTGTTCACCAGAGGGCGTTCAGCTATAACGGGATCCTGGGCCAGAACCGGCTTGTATTTGCAGAGCTTTTCCTCCTCCTCCTCACATGCAAGTGCCCTAGGCACCTTGCACCACGGGAACAGGCAGGTGGCCACTCCCCGGACCCCACTTTTATTTAAAATATATATTTGTATTTTATTTTATTGTTTAAAGCAGCAGTTCTCAACCTTTGGGGGTCGAACGACCCTTTCACAGGGGTCGCCTAAGACCATCGGAAAACACATATATAATTACATATTGTTTTTGTGATTAATCACTAAGCTTTCATTATGTTCAATTTGTAACCATGAAAATACATCCTGCATATCAGATATTTACATGACGATTCATAACAGTAGCAACATTACAGTGATGAAGCAACCACGAAAATAATTTTATGGTTGGGGGTCACCACAACATGAGGAACTGTATTAAAGGGTCGCAGCATTAGGAAGGTTGAGAACCACTGGTTTAAAGTATTACAAATAGTAGTACATATGTCTCCTTTTTTTCCCCATTGCCCTTCCCCCGCCCCCCCCCACATGCCCTCACCCCCCCCCCGTGTCTTGCGTCCATTGGTTATGCTTATATGCATGCATACAAGTCCTTCAATTGATCTCTTACCTCCCCCCCAATCCTCCCCAGCCTTCCCGCTGTAATTTGACAGTCTATTCCATGCTTCTCTGCCTCTGTATCTATCTTCATCAGATTTTTATCGATTTCAGAGAGGAGGAGAGAGAAACATCAATGAGGAGAATCATGGATCGGCTGCCTCCTTGCACGCCCCCTTATTGGGGATCCAGCCCACAACCCAGGCACGTGTGCCCCTGGCACGGAATCGAACCCAGGACCCTTCCCTCCCTAGGCCGAGGCTCTATCCACTGAGCCACACCGGGTAGGGCCTGATCCCACGTTTTCAAGAAGGGCACCTCTAGGTCAAGTGCCTTTTTAATTTTTTTGCTTCATGCTGATGACAACCTTCTGTAGCTGTTACTTGCAAGTTCACGGGCTCCATAAAAGCGCGGTCGGGTGATTGTAAAAAGCCCAATTCACTCCCTGGCTGCTCTGACACGCCATACGGCAGAGGAGCCGAAAATGTTTAAAATAAGTGGTTTTCCCTCTCATGTGGGTGATGCAAGAACATCAAAGAGCTGGCCCAAATGAATGAACCGCCTCTGGCACCAGAATCGACTCATTCATAACCCTTCTTGGTTTCCACTGTTGAGTCACCATTATGGACGATACAGACCTGAGAACTTGACACACACACACACACACACACACACACACCCAGGAAACAAACTCCAGCTGGGAAGGCCTGTCCGTCCAGGCCAGAGGAAGAGAAAGCCATTCCAGCTGCGAGATGTGGAAAAGCTTCGCGGAGGGATGACAAAGGACAGGAAAACGAAACGAAACAAAAGGCACGGGGGCCCCGGCCGGTGTGGCTCAGCTGGTGGAGCATCGCCCCAGGCACCCATAGGTCCCCGGTTCGATTCCCGGTCAGGGCACATGCCCCGGGGGTGCAGGCTCCATCCCCAGAAGGGGGGCGTCCAGGAGGCAGCCGATCCATCATTCTTGCTCATCATGGATGTTTCTCTCACCAATGTTTCTCTCCCACTCCCTCTCTCTCTCTCAAATCAATAAAAAAAAACATTTTTTAAAATATATTTTATTGATTTTTTACAGAGAGGAAGGGAAAGGGATAAAGAGTTAGAAACACTGATGAGAGAGAAACATCGATCAGCTGCCTCCTGCACACCCCCTACTGGGGATGTGCCTGCAACCAAGGTACATGCCCTTGACCGGAATCGAACCTGGGACCCTTCAGTCCACAGGCCGACACTCTATCCACTGAGCCAAACCAGTCAGGGCCGATCCATAATTTTTGCTCATCATGGATGTTTCTCTCACCAATGTTTCTCTCCCACTCCCTCTCTCTCTCTCAAATCAATAAAAAAACCACATTTTTTAAAATATATTTTATTGATTTTTTACAGAGAGGAAGGGTGAGGGATAGAGAGTTAGAAACATCAATGAGAGAAACATCAATCAGCTGCCTCCTGCACACTCCCCACTGGGTATGTGCCCGCAACCCAGGTACATGCCCTTGACTGGATTCGAACCTGGGACCCTTCAGTCCGCAGGCCGACGCTCTATTCACTGAGCCACACCGGTCAGGGCTAAAAGAAATATATACATTAAAAAAAAAAGGTTTTTTTGGGGGAAAAGCACATTGCTGTTGAAAGGACTAGTGAGACGCTGTCTGAATTTCCCCTCCCCTCTGCTAAGGTGTGTGGTCGGGGCGGCTGCGAGGCCAGACCCAGAGGTGTGAGCTAAACCAAAACCACACTGAGAGGTCGGCTGGGGCTGCTGGCGCAGGAAGTGGGAGAATCCAGGGGCTGAGGCGGGATCACTTCCACCTGGATCTGGGCATTGAGACCAGGTGGGGGGGGCGGGGGGGTGAGACGGGGGTGCGGGGGAAGGGAGGCCTGGCTGTCAGACAGGTCGGGGCCTCAAGGGAAGATGTGAGCGATTCCCTCCCAGGTCCCAGTCGCTCTGAATTTTGCTCCTAGAAGCTGCTGGGGTGGGGTGGGGTGTTGGCGCCCCCACAAAGGGCCGGGCGGGTGATGAAGGGGACCCAGACAGGAAGAGCAATCACGGTGAATAAAGGGGAGACGCAAGCCCTCGCCGGCCTGGCTCAGTGGATAGAGCGTCGCCAGTGGACTGACAGGTCCCGGGTTCGATTCCAGTCAAGGGCATGGACCTCGGATGCGGTTTCCATCCCGATGCCTGGCCTTGGTCAGGGCACGTGCAGAAGGCAACCGACGGATGTGTCTCTCTCACATTGACGTTTGTCTCTCTGTCTCTCCCCCTCCTTTCCACTCTCTCTTAAAAACCAATGGGAAGCCCTGGCTGTTGTGGCTCGGAGGATAGAGCATCGGCCTGCAGACGGAAGGGTCCCGGGTTCGATTCCAGCCAAGGGCACATGCCCGGGTTGTGGGCTCGATCCCCCGTAGGGGGCGTGCAGGAGGCAGCAGATCCATGATTCTCTCTCCTCATTGATGTTTCTCTCGCTCCCTCCCTCTCTGAAATCAATAAAAATTTATTTAAAAAAATAAAAATAATAAAAGTCAGTGTTATTGGGCCTGGACAGTGTAGCTCAGTTGGCTGAGCATCGTCCCATGTACCAAGAAGTCACCAGTTCCATTCCCGGTCAGGGCACATGCCCAGGTTGTGGGCTCGATCCCCAGTAGGGGCATGCAGGGGGCAGGTGATCAATGTTTCTATTTCTCTCTCTCACTAACACTCTCTCTCAAAATCGGCAAACTTGCCCTAGCTGGTTTGGCTCAGTGGATAGAGCATCGGCCAGCGGACCGAAGGGTCCCGGGTTCGATTCCTGTCAAGGGCGCAGACCCTGGTTGCAGGCTCCTGGCCCTGGTCGAGGGGCAACTGATCTATGTCTCTCTCTCACATCGGTGTTTCTCTCTGTCTCTCCCTTTCACTCTTTTACAAAATCAATGGAAAAAATATCCTTGGGTGAGGATTTAAAAAAAAAAATCAATAAACTTTTTTTTAAGTCAGTCTTATCTAAATACTAATAATAGAGGAATATGCAAATTGTCCAGGACGCCGACACAGTAACAGTAACGACCAAACAGCAGGCTGCGTGGGGCAACCAGGCCAGCGGGGGGGCAGTTGGGAGCGACCAGGCCAGCGGGGGTGGGCAGTTGGGAGCGACCAGGCTGGCAGGCAGAGGCAGTTGGGGTGATCAGGCTGGCGGGGGGGGGGGGGTAGTTAGGGGCGATCAAGCAGGCAGGCGAGTGGTTAGGAGCCAGCAGTCCCGGATTGTGAGAGGGATATCCAACT